GATTGTCCTACTCTTTCCCTTTGAGTCAGTGACTACCATGGTAAACTGGTCTTCCAACCTAGATGACTCAACTGGACAGGATTTACGTGTTGGGAGAAACGACCTGTGCCTAGGCTTCAAATGGTGCCTAATCAACTCATTGCCATCTTTGGAGAATTCCCAGTAGTCTTTACTCTTTTGGGTCCGAGTTGCGGTTGCTGCTAAGCAAGACATTGCGAAACCTGTTTGAATACATGGACTGGCCTTTGGACTTTTGTCCTTCTTTTCCCGTTTGCTCTTTTTGTCCTTTTTGTCCTTCTTGGATTTCTTGTCCTTAGACCTTTTAGCTGCGGGCGAGGGACTCCTTCTGCGCGGGGCTGGTGTTGCAGTGTCTCCGTGTTTAAACGGGCATTTGTCACCCCTTTTGCAGTTACCCTTTGCAAAGAACCTGCATGGCTTGTCAGATTTCCTCCCTCTACTGGAGCTTCTTGATGAGTTCCTTGAACTGGAGCGGGAAGTGTGTCTTGACGAACTTCGAGATCGGCTTGACCTGAACGATGAACGGCTGCTCGGACTTGCGCTACGCGAGCGAGACGACTCCCGACTAAGGGAGCGGGGACGGGCGCTAGAGTCGTGTGAGTACTTGCATTTGCTCCCGTACTTACACTTACCAGTTTTGGCATACTCATAGCATTGATTGCTTCCGTCACCCTTTGTGCTTCGTTTGCCATAACTTGGGCTTCGCGTGCGCTTGTCGTGCGGTGCCGGGTTTGCGAACTTTGCCGCGTGTGATTGTGATATCTTTTCGCGATTGGTCCTGAGCCTTTCCCTGTCAAGGTAACGTCGAACAGAATTGATAAGAAATTCATAGCTTCTGTCGTTACTTCCCTCCGGCGCTCGTTCATAAACATCAAGGTCAAATCTGAGCTTGCGGGACTTCCTAACCTCTCTATAAAACAAATCCTTGAGAGTTGCCGGGTCTGGGACATGACTCATTCCGGTCAGAACACTCTCCCATTTTCTTAGAAAGGATTTCAAGTCGTCGCTATCAAGCGAGATCTTGAGGAGGTCCTCAGTGCCATACAGTGCACCCGCTTCTTCACTGGTCTTGAAGTGGACTTCAAACATGAGCAACACCTGACGACCACGGACGATCCTACCTTGCTGTGCCTCAGATTCCTTATAATTAAGGATCTGCTGAGACAGTTCACCTTTGGCAACCTTAGTTAAAGCAGCAAGCAGTTTCGTGTCTAAGGTCCGAAACTTGCCTGGGTCAGCCAATTCGGAACAAAGCTTGGCTTTGTCTTCACGAACAGCGTACACCTCAAGCACCCATGCGAACGCAGCGTCTGGGTCATCGGACGCGGACCGTATCGCTTCGCGAACAGCGGCCCTCCAAGTGCGGTACCTATCAGGACTTGGGAATTCGGGAAGATCTATCTTATCAGCCTCCTTTGCCTTGGGTTTGTCAGAGTCTTTGCTCTTAGCGCCCTTAAACCCTTCTAGCAAGGCCTTCTTGATGATTTCCCCCAAATCTTGGTCTTGTGGAGTTCTTACCTGAGAAGCCGGCCCTTCGTCCTTGCGATCATCCTTAGTCTTTGTTGCTTCCTGATTAAAGGAGCTTTTGTACAAAGGATCATCACTGAAGTTATATTGTGCTGACTTCTTCATGTACTCCGTCCACGGATCCGGTTGTTTGAATTGTTGCCTGTCCGTAGAGGCCGTTGCCTGTTCCGCTGCGTGCGCCCCTGTCCCTGAGAACATTGATGGGAATCCAGTGTTGCGCGTGGACGCTGTTGCATCCATAGCCGTCTTTATAGGGGATCCGCCTTCCTCACGGGGCTTACCGTCTAAGGTTGCTGGAACAGTGCCTTCCGTGCGTAGAGGTTCAAAAGATCGCGGTTGACCAATTGGGTGAGCGTCTTGTCGAGCAGAAGGTGTAAGTGGCTCAGGATATTGCGGCCCTGGCTTAACGGGGCTAGAGGATTGCGCCTTGCGCTCCGCTTCCTTGCGTTCCTCTTCCCTGTCTGTCAAGGACTGTACAACACGTCTGAGCTCGTCCATTTCACCCTTCAACATTGCATTGTCCTTGCGAAGCTCAACTATAGTTTGCTCTTGCGTTTCCCGATCAACCTTATATTGCTTATTTGTTGTCTCCATCTCATTGACAAGAGTTTTGATCTTTGCCTGTGCAATTGCTAACGAACTGTCCAGTTGTTCTCGCTTGAAGTCAAGCTCTATGGCGATCCGGGATTCTTCAGCAGACGAATGTCTTGCCTGATCCTTTGCCTCTAGAGCTGCCTTCAGCTTAGCCTCCTGTTGCTCAACATACTGGTGATGTTCAGTTCTCATTTTGTCAACAAAAGCATTGCCTTCTTCCGCCATGGAATTCTTTTCCTGTACAACTTTCTCATGAGCTGCTGTCGCCTGAGCTAGCCGCTGCTGAAAATGTTCCCTTTGCTCCTCCAATGTACCTTGCAACCGTTTGATTGCAACATTGTCTTGCTGTTGGACCATTTGCTGAACACTTTGTTCCTGCTGTTGGGCCCTTTGTTGAACATTCAACATTGCCTGCTCTGCGGCAGCCTTTGTTGCCGCTATAGATTCGGAAGCTTCTCTTTCGTAAATACTCCTGAAGCGCAATGCCTCGATTTCAGCTTCCCTCCTGGCTTGTTCGCTGAGCAAAAACTCATGTTGTTGTAACTCCCGTCGTAGTTCTTCGTCGTTTGGCGTTGCATTCAGGTTGACAACGTTGAGCCGAGTCATTGCCAACAAGTTGTTTACTGTTGGCGCACCAGCTACGGTGGCTGACGGCATACCTGCTAGGGTAGCTTGTGTCGCCTCTTGAAGAGTAACACTACCACCACTATTTAGCATCTCTTGGTACACCTCCGAAGCAACCCTTGGATCCATTGCAGCCACTTGTGCAACCGCTTGTTCATGCCGTTGAACTGCATCCAAACTATTGGGCACACTCGGAACTATGTCAAAGCCACTTCCGTAGGAGTTTGGTGGGACGTCGTCATCCATCGGGTCCATAGCTCTAATCTAGCTAGCTTACGGCTGATAACCTGTATTTTACAGGATCAGCTCTAATAGTACTAACTACCTAGCTAACCCTGCTAGTCCGGTAAGCGCTACCTTTTGCTCTACCTTGAGAGTCAACGCTACGGGGTCCATGGGGATGAGGTGAATTTCAACACAAATCAAAGTGCAAACATCCAGCCATTCACCATCGCAGCCTGTCTGGCCATCTCCAGCCGGCCAATAGACCACTTAGACTAACTAGGCATCGGACTTGAGCCAATCTAAGCGCCAATCAAACTTCAGCTTGACCATGGCGGATATCGGAAACAGATGAGCCACCCGCTTCACACGTGACAGCTCGTTATAATGGCTGTACAAATTCACACCCAACGATGACAAGCGCAGCGATGCCCCTCCCTATCCCAAAACAAAAGACAAACTCACAGCGGCGTGGAGGATTCATGTGTATAATGGGCCCTTACTTGGGAAAGCACACCACCTCTTGACTGCACAGCCCCATGCCCCCTTGAGTCAGGCTCCTGCTCCGCCAGTGGCTAACCGCTTGCGATTGCGCTTTACTGGGCAGCAGCACCTTACAAAATTTACAAGAACGCTCGCCTTCAACTGGGCCCAGGATTTTCGCGATCGCAATTTGTTTTTGCTTGAAGTCGGTTTGTAGGAGGCTGCGTCGCCCGAGCCTCACTCCACACCACAGTTTCGATTGCAACACCAAGTTGCAAGGAGGCGCATTCCGAACAAGGAGGGCGTAGCACAACTGCTCTTGTCGCCCTGCAATCTGAGGAACCAAAAGCCACACGTGGTCATCTGCCGCACTATGCAGACACCAAGTCAAGTACGTTGAAAGAGCATTGCTGATACGAGTATGAACTGAAGCTTCACCCCAGCACATCGACCCACGCGTTTACAATATGAAGGCATTGCGCTTACCGTCGCCTGAACAGTGGGCAAATGCGTCTGTGTATGTGCGCTGCCTATATGCTTGTGATTGAACTCTGCTGAACGAACGCTTAAACACTGTTGCTCGAGCCATTCTACCCTTGATGTTCAAGTTCGCAGCAATAAGAACTCGTGGCAACCAAAGTTCAAGACTGGACTTCTGTTTGATTAGCAATTTGCACACTATGCGTATGTTGTATTCGCCGGTGTGCAACATGCTCCAAGAAGAATGCAATCGAACCAATACAACGCAAACCCACGTGTAGGCCTAGCCAATCCCCCGTCCACATGGAAAGTTGTAGGTTTCATGAACGCATAAATAAGAACACAAGGGAAGTTGAGGAGTCCTCCATGTTGGTGTTCTGGTCATTGTTGTTCTAACCATCCGGCCGTGCGTCTGACACGGTATCGTTCTGCTCAAACTTACCAGAGATGCCTGTGGTAAAGTTACATGCGAGGAGGCCTGAAAAATGGGCTCATTCAAAATTAAAGCTTGTGTAGGTCACTGGAGCTGTGGAGGCGCCAGCCAAACCAAACAATCAGCAACTCCATCATAGCGCTGGCCCCGATCCAGCCACAGTGCCGCATTGCCAGCCCCCGTTGGGCATGGCGTTTGCCGGGTAGCAGTGAAGAAGACGAAGGAGAAGAAGAACATACTTGAACAATTAAATGACCTTTTAGGCACCTTTAAAGACAAACACAAAGGTCAATAATTTCGGTAGGCCTTATATACTGGGGGCAGTTTGGTAAGGTCTCTATACTGTAGCACTACTTTGGCTCACTTAGGGTGGGTCTGACGTGCATCAAGGCCTTACTTGCGCTCAGTCGGGGCAAGTCTTACAGTCATCTCTCCTTTCTAAGGTAATGGTAAGGCCTTTCTTGGGCTTCTGTTGCCTGGAACATTTAACTTTGTCTGCAACCCGCTTTATCTCCATGTCCTCATGGATCTCATGAGAGCGGACTTCAATTGCAAACCTTGCTTCCGGCCACTTGTTGCCAGATTCACATCCCCCCCACGCGGACAGCATCGCCCTCTCCAGCGTAGAGAAGCCCAGCTTCAACAGCTGCCGAGGCCTCCAGTCCAACCGATGTCACAACTCCAAGGCCACGCCCAGACGCCAACTGAATACCCCAACCACCCGCCATGAACTGGGGTATGGGCTTGGTCTAACAGGGTAAGGTCTCATAAAGACCCAGGACGATCTTCGCCAATGCGTTTTATCTGCTTGGCTGTCTTGACCAACATGCCGCTATTGGGGCGTCCTTCTTTTCATAGGATTCAGGTCAAGAGTCGCCAAGAATCTCCCAACATGAGTTTCCTCCCCTATTCCGGTTTCCCACACCCCAAACACTAGCAGTTGCAGGAACTTGCCCAAACAGCACTGCAGCAAAGGTGCATTGGTGACCTCCCAGTGCGCTGTTGGCCCTCTGAGGGGTTCAGCGTCTCGATCTGAGTCGAAAGGCTGGAAGAGATAGATAGCAAAAACAGAAAAAGAGTTTGTCAGTTTGTCCACAGGACAATCTACAGGAACAGTGGATCTAACCTACTGCAACCACCTTGCGAGTTCGACCACGCCCCAACCGCCCTTCAGGCTCACAGCAGGGTTTGAAGTACAAGTGTGCAAAGTCCAAGGTCCCATGGAATTATGAGGCGAACTTATATACCAAGTGGTTTTCAAATTCAACTGGCAAAAAACTGAACAATGGAGCTACGGAAAAGCCGATTGTAGAATTGTTTTACACTTGGATCGGTGGTAACCACACCGATGTACAGCTGGAAGATAAAAGCACCAGAGCCCAGGTAAAGACACACAAGATGTAAGACCATGTATGTATATATATATATATAACCCAAACTCACCTTGGCAAGAAATGTTGGTGCGATAATTCACATAACCAAACAGAGATTGTTGTTGTGATGTTCCTGTAGCACCCCATGATCTGTTGAGGAGACCTCTCCATGAATCATTACAGTTTTTGCGGAGCTTGGGTGCCAAATGAAATTCTTGCTCTGTCAGGCTACTCTGTGAATGCCCTCAAGCTGAGGGTTTGCTGCAGTCGGCAATAAGCACGCGTGGCAGCCGCTTCTCATTCGGCAGGGGTCTTGCGTACATGGGAAAGCGTGTTGCACTCATTAACCAGACTTCGTCTGCAAGGCCTTCCAACTTACACAAGAGGCACAAGAGCGATATGATCTATGTCCATATTGGTTGGTGGCAAACCAATACAGCCAGTATATATCACCGTAAAGGCACACAAACCAATCCAAGTTCAGAAATAGAATATAGGTGTGTTTTCTGGCAATACCGACAGGCTGTCGGTCCGACAGCTCTGCAGAGATTCACGATCCATGATCCCTGCCGGTTTTCCAGGGAGGCTGATGTCGTGCTGAAACCACTCATCTTCCGAGGACCAGGCCACCTTCACTTCGTAGAAATACCGGCCTGGGTCGATGGCAATTGGCAATCTACGGAAACGCACGCGTCAGTCCAGAAAGTGGAGAAAACAATGGTTCAGGGGCAACTGTCTTCGAAACACAAGGGAAGATGCAAACAAACCAAACATACAATAATGCGATAGGGAGTGGAAATCATCTTGATGAAATGAGCAACACAATGGACAACTGATGCACATAAAGGTTTTTGCGTTCCAATGTTCCAAACATTGTTGCATCAAACCAACCAACCAACCAACCAACCCGCGACACTGGAATCGCGGACATCTTCTCCGGGCCCCTGAGAATCCAGGCCGCTCTTGACACCCACCTAAAGTTTGCAAGGGGATGAGTGGGGCCCACCCGCCCCAACTGTTCAAACTTGCCAGAGCGTGGAGGCTGAACCGGATCGTTCTTCGCTCCCTTGCTGTTGCAAAAGGCTTGACACTGAAATCTACAACCTCACTCAGGTGACAGAACGCCCACTTCTGCTCAATGTTAAGTTTGATCTTTGTCGGCTGAGTCAGGTGATAGCACCTGACACCTGTGCATGCCTACTGCCGATCTTCATAGCTACATTTGCATGATGATTTACACGCGTGCGTGTAAGCCAAAAATATACTATTTTCGACGCTGCGTTGCACACACGACCTTCTCTTTTCTTTTTGACACGGGGATTCTGGGATGCAGTCGGGACAGCCCTGCTGCTGTCTGAGAAATTGCGCATCCTACACTGACCACTTCAAAGCCTGTACATGAACCTTTCTAGATCTAGACTCACCTGCACTGATTCACGTGAGACTACCCGCATATCTCCCCCATCTCACGTAGTTGCACTTGACATCCACTGCGACGCACTCAGATAGCCAACTCCTCCACTTCTAAGGCGATGGTGAATCGGCTATGTTACTGGGCCATGGGACGGAGTAGCAGGACAACCTCTTGTTCCTTGCGGCTTGGATCTATTTGACACCCCCGCTGTCAATGAAGTAAAGGACGCTGGCCCCTTCAAGCACATCAGATATTTCTTGACAATCTCGATGGGGAGCATCTCAGCTTGCGCTATAACCTGCTCCTGCCCAAACATGCCACCCATCCTCTGTGGATTTGCCCACATCAAACCTGAAGGTGACTGGGTCACTGAGACCGCTCCGAACGCAATGCCTGAAGCCCTCGGCGGCGCCGTCTTGCGCAAATGAGCAGCCAGGCGCAAAGCGCTCTTGATCTCTGGCGCCACAAACCGAACCTCTCTCTACCCACCAAAGACCTTTGCTTCACTGGTTCAATAATGTGCGCTAGCCGCTAGCCAACTCCCACTGCGCTGGGCCTTCAACCTCCTCAACACCTTAGCTGCGAGAGAAGGGGGGGGGTGATCTCGTTCTGAAACGGCCAGCCATTCTTTTTGCGCAGAGTGGAGGGTCGGTGACACTGCATGGAGGAGACTCGCTAATTGGCGGCGAAACAGGAAGAAGAAGAAGAAGAAGGAACTACCCACCCTCGAACAAGAGGATGTTCAAGCACCCCCTGCACTATGCGCGAGCCTGCATCCGCGACTTGGAAAAGGACCTGAGACCAGAAGGTCGTCCCCACAAGCTTTCAGAGTTCGGCAAAAGGATTCCTGCAGGAAACAAGAAAGTCTTCAGAGGTGCCACTACATGGCATCGGAAGTCCTCGCGCGATTGGCAGGGGCAAGCCAGAAGCAGGCAACTTGGCTTCTCTGTCACCTGCCAGATCTTTAGATATGAAGAGAACGCCAAGTCGCCAAGTGAGCTACAAACCTCCGCTAAAGATGTTAACCCAGACCAATTGTCGTTGGGATGATTTGAACGCCGCTAGGAAACTAGTCAAGAAAAACATGCTGAACTGCATCCCTCATGGCGTTCCACCTGAAAAGCCGACACAGGGCTGCTTCAAAGTTCAGCCGCGCGATGTTGTCGAGGTGCGTGAGCCTTTTTCATTTGCAAGTTGATCCCAGGCGCAGTGTGATAGCGCTGGCAATCTGATTTTTGGAGGACCTGCGCCACACAAAGAAGGCACTGACAGAAGACGCCAGGATGCCGTTTTCTTAGAAGTCCGTGTCATTTGGTCTGGGTAGAGTCAGACAAAACACCTCATCCTCCAAGAAAGCAGATACCTGAGCCAGAGCAGACCCCGCTTATCTTTACAAAGGTCCAGGTGAGTCTGATCTGATCTGGTCTTGGCTTCCTTTTCCGGCTTGTCCAGTAGCCTGTTGCGATTTCTGCTTTTCGCAGCGCTTCAAAGACTTTGGCCCTTCGCCGATACCAACTCTTTTGCAAGTCCATGAAGTCTGGCATCTCTTCACTGTCTGAAGAGTTTGAGGTGTGACTGACATGCTGTCTGCTTTCTTGGGGCTGCTTGCTGGGCAGCTGGATGTCGTGTGAGCCTGAACCAACGTGAAGAGGCCGTGGACCTACAGGTTCTTGGCTCCGAACAGGCCCGCTTGCTGTACTTGAGTCCCATTCGAGCCACGTTGCTCAAAGTGTCGAACATGCAAGCTATACATAGTATATATATATTATGTGTATATATATACTGTATATACATACACAGCAAATAAATATACATGTAGACTTACAGGTTTGCAAGTTTGACGGTAATTATGGCAGCTCAGCAAATATAGGCTTCAAGCATCCCAAGTCAAGACCAACGCAACCAAGAATAAAGACAAGGCTCACTATTTCAATAGGTGGTACTTCGCGTTCATCAAGGTCAAACGGTGTTGCGCCAGAAATTGCTTCAGGATCGAAACTCTTAGCCCAAATGATGGGGTCATAAGTTTCGCAACACCTTCTCGCTTCTAGATCCATCTTCAGACCTCCGGAATCAGCAACGGGCCCTGAGCTTCCCTGCATTGGCACGGGCCCCTGCCAGCAAGTACTGCAGGCCCCCTTCAGTGAGTGGCATGAGCACCTGATCCGGTGGGGCCACCTGATGATTTCGTTGGCCAAGCAGCTGCCGACAAAACAAAGATTGATCAGATTGGATGTAGGTTTGTCCTGGACAAAAGGACTCGCCACCTTTGGGAACAAATCCGAGACTGGCCCATGTGGCATTCCAGATCTTTCACCCCAAGTTACCTCTCTTGAAAAGCCTTTGGTTCAAAATCACGCTGAGTCGCCCAACGACTCAACCCCTGCGATCTCAATCTCCACGCCTGGCCATTCAACGAGGGAACCACGTTTAACCTGGGCGCAAATTGCTGGAGCTCATGGACAGTACTGTGATACTCCCTGAGAAAACCACTGATGATCTAACTGGCACCACGGCGTTCTCGAAAAGAGCAACTTGACAAGTATCCTAACCTCATTTAGGGTAGAAGTTGCCAAAACCATTCTTACCGACATGAGACATGCTTTACATTTACAACGTGGTGTGTGAAACACAGCTTCAAAGTGAAGCATCGAAAATTGATAATCCGATGGTGTCTTGCTCAAGCCACAATGAGTAAATTCAGGACGTGCAGTTGGAGGATTGTTCCCATAGGTGTTTCCGTCCCAGTGCCGGTGTTTGCAGCGAATTCGGACTCTTTCCATATATATATACACAGTATATACTAAGGAGAGGCACCGCTAAAAACGGTGCGGGTCTGTGTCGACGAACAAAGGGGGTCTATATAAATGTTGAGAAAGTGTAATGGGGTTTCCTCAAGTACTGTTGCGGTTCTGAAATCAGCCCAATCTCATGTCCTTGCCACACCTGTGACATTGGGTAAAATGAAAAGTAGATGAGGTATGACAAGTTCACCCAGTCGGTAAGAGAACCAAAGAAGCCTCACTTCGACTCATCTGAAACGTTCGCCCTTAGACTTTAGACCGATGTCACTTCACTGAGGACGATGCAGACAGTCTACCGTGTCGAAGAAGGCCTTCGGTCGCAACGGCATCCTGGGCGTCGCTTTTTTGCAGATCCAAGTGATCAAAGTGCAACGCATTTCGCCCCTCTTCAGTCTCCGATTCCGGTTGGTATTTGCTGCAGATGGTGTATTTTTGGGCTGCCTTAGATGACAGGAAGCTCTAGAGCTACCGGTTGAATTCAGGTGCAGGTATTGAACCAAAGGCTGGGTGTGTTCTTCAGCGCTGAGGGTAAAATGACAACCCGAGCAAAAGCCATGTCTTCCAGGTTGCCTCACTCTACTAATACAGTCTGATGCTGCCCGGACTTTACAACCCTTCCAGCAGGGCACCATGGGCTTGCTCATTCTGGGATCGAAAACAGGCTCGCTTTCGAACTTCAGACCTGCTAGCAGAACTGCTAGCAGCGCTTGCACTTTTGATTCATGGGGAAGTAGCTTTGCGACTCAGCCTGTGGGCTCAGCACCCCAGCCCAGTGATTGGAGCTGCATCCGTCTCTTTCTCCTGAGGTGTATCCTGAGGAGTGAAGGTGAAGGAGGTTGGCAGCCAGTTTTCAAAACATGCCCAAGTCTAAGACCTTTTTGAATGACTTTTGAAAAGGTGCCCTCCCGTGCCGTTAGAATGCTAACATCACGCCAACTTTGTCGCCCCATGAATATGGCGTCAAACTTCTCAGGAGTCGGGCTTTTGTGAGGTGTTGCAGGCAAATGATCCAGGATTGTCCAAATCTGCTTGAAATCTTCAACTGCACGGGAAGTGCTTGGAAAAAGGGGAGAGCTCTCTATTTTGAAATGCACTCATAGGTGAGCACCTCCCAATATGAACAAAACGGAGCACACCGTGTTGAACCAGCAGAACATCTTGGTTTCCTCCCCCAGCCTCACCAGTTTCAACAAGCTTTTTTCCGACGCCAAACGCCAGTCTATGTGTGTTATCTCCAAAGAAAACCATTTCATCATCTACTTTCTAGTCATGAACCGGTCACTTTGCCTGCCTTTACCCATTTCAATCGCGGCGAAAATAACCAGCCTGAACCTCCTGTTTCACTTCCTGCTTAACTTCTGGCTTCATCTCCTGCTTCACTTCGGACCTTAGTGGACAACAGTCCCCTTTGGGATCCAGAATCTCACAACAACGATGGCTGGGCTGGTTGCCATAAGCAGAACAGCTTTGCTCAGTTCGAAAGTTGGTCACAAGTTGGAAGGACGGCTAAATGTTCTCCAAGCTACTTCTCTTCCTGCTTTATTTCCTGCTTCACCTCCTCTTTGACCTCCGGCTCCTGCACTAAAGTGCAAGCTAAATGGAAGTGGAAGTCAAAGGGGCCAGCGCCCATGACAATGCACGTCTGTTGCCAACAACCTCACTAATAATATGTGTATATATATATAATGGCACGAGATGGGAACACCAATAAAATCGGTTTGCAAAAATAGTTCGATGACTGTGCTTGTTAGACTTACATACTAGATTCATCTGGATCATCTTTTCGGGCCGATGTCATCAAGTAATCTACAATTAGGCAAGCCAAGGCAGCTCTTTGCTAGGAGCCGCTTCATCAAGCCGGACCGTTCTTCAACTGCTGGTATTGTTTCCGGCACCCTGAACGGACACTGGCAGACCAAAAAGAGCTCAGCAAAGCAGCATCCTGGGGCCGTGCTACGTAGCCTTCATCCGTCTTTTGGCGCTTGGCCTCGGCCTGGACGTTTGGTGTCATTTTTTGATGGGGAAGCTAAGAAAAACTAAAGCCAACATCCATGAGGCTTCTGTGCCTTAGTGTCTTTGCATGAAATTGTGGTGGCGTTGTGTCAACATGAGAATCATCAGAGAAACAAAAAGAACATCTTGCAAACAGTGCTATCTTAGTTTGGCGGACGTCATCTGGGCTTGTCGCCTAGAATGGGGACTGCAGCCAACTAACTCGCTTTATGTCCCTCTCGCGTTAACTCTAGTGGTCTTTGGGTACCCTTTCCGACCGATCAACCCGACCACTGATGATGCTGTTGCGGGGGAACTCGCTTGAACCATTCCGGCGTGATTTGCCCCCTGTTTTTGAACAGCCTTGGCAGCTTCACAAGTGATCCAGGATCATGAACAGGATCAATTTGGTGATGTGATTGACTTTTCTGAAAGTTTGAGGGTGGGCCCCACCAATCCTAGAATGTACGAAACTGGGACAAAGCCACTTGATCAGCACAAAGAGACCCGTCCCACCTCCGCTTCCATGGAAGCAGCCCCTGGCTTATCGTGCGACTCAGGAGCTTCGTCACTAGTCACAAGTCCCTCACTTGGGTGTTGAATGTTTCAGACAACTATCTGTGCTGACAATCCAGTGCTGCTACTACCCACAAGTCATCAACCTAGCTTGCAAGAGAAAAAACAAAACACAAGCTGTGACACAGGGCGCTTGAAACTTGAAACCCTATCATCCCAAACAATCACGGCTTTGCCTCAAAACACTTCTGCACTGGATGCGATAGGAATCTGTTCGATCAGTTGTTGTCTGCCCACCTGACCGGGTGCTTGCCTCCCGTGGGGTCTTTCGGACACGCGCCGAAACCGGACGCACGGCTCCGCAGCTGATTGACGGTGTGTTGGGTTGGCGGAAGCTGTGAGCCACACGGATTACACAGCGACACTGTCGGAACTGGCTGGAGGCATGCCCCAAGCACACTGGCAACCAGCCTACTGGGCGTTCGACCCACCTGAAGAGTAAAACTAGGAGCCTGGTCAGGTTGGAGCCCAAAAAGTAAATCACCAACTCCGAGGAGGATAAAGAAATCTAAATGATGTTTTTCACACGTTCTCTAAGTTTCACACCAAAGAAAAGTTCGCGGCAGCCATCGGTCGCCCCTCCCATCAGTGAACCCTTTTCCTGCGGCCATCTGAGCTGCCGGTCGAGAGCGACCGGCGCGCCCGGTCTCGCACCCAGCATTGGCAGGCCGTGGCGGCTCGTCTGACACACATGCGGCGACTGGCACAAGGGTCTAGATATGCTCTTAAATGGGTCGCACGTGGGAGTGTCTCACAAGAGAACACAGAAAGGTAGAGAAACCGAGAAACCAATGGTTTGGGGATTCCCCCATTTTGAGACAAACCCATATCTATCCATAACGTCTTGAATGCATGACGTTCTGTGCCACTGGACCAGCGTCGAGCCTCACTTCTTTTTCTCGGGCGCGGGCTTCGCTTCTGCCTGAAGATTGATATGAGATATGCAGAACTGTTTCTGCACTCACAGTGGTTCGTTAGATTATTGTATGTAGGAGCTGAACTCTTCGATTAGCATAGCCCACCATATATGTATCTGTGTACATATATATAACTACACATATATATATATATATGTATAAATGCGAACTTTTTCCTGTAAGCACAAAAGGGCTGCAGTAAATCTCATGCATTGATGCTATTATGTTGTACACATCTAGTGTGGTTTACACTGAAAATGTTTCACACTCCTTCTTGGTAGTGTGAGCGATCGAAGTGCTCTTTTAAGCTCACTCTGCCCTGCCACTATAGTCCATTTTGTTTTCATAAGTTCTCTGCAGGCTTTCTCCGCTTCTCTAGGGAACGGGGGTTCCAGAGATTCTTGGCACTGGTCTATCTGGGCTGTCTCTTCTCATAAATGCACATTCTAGCAACTCTTGATACTTCTCCATTTCTTTTTCAACTTGATCTGATCTTGTAGTCCTTTTCCTAGTAGATCCCATTGCCTTTCATGAAGTTGCTCAAGCGTTGTTTTGTTCCATGGTCCTTCTGATGGGGTTGCTCCATCCATGGCTGCCGGTAACATCACTCTATAACCCTGATATTGTCCTTCCGTCGCTCTCATATCTTCTAAGCTCCTTCTGGCTAAGAAGTTTCCTGCGTTCATGTCACCTAGTACATCATAACTGATCACAGTTTGAGTATCTGGCGTTTGTCTCGCCGCAAAGCCTCCATTGAGAACCAATCCACAATGAAGTCTCCTGGCATAGCTGCGAAGAATGTCTTTTCCCTCTTCAAATTCTTCGCAATCTCTGATCATATTCTCGCAATTTTTTTTAAGACAAATTCTGTTTCTTCTGCTCTGAAACAAGCAGTTTCCATAGCAGAGTAGTAGCTATTCTCAAAGTGCCTGTAGAGCTTCCATAGTACAAAAGCCACTGCTGCAAAACCAATGATAACAATTGTAAGTATCACAACGATCAGGACTTTCCAGTGTTCATTGAATTCTTTTCCTCCTTCTAATCTACACTGGATGTTCCCTTTCTCTCTGATGAATGCTTCTGTAACCATTGGCTGCAAGCCCTCCAACGCTACCATGCTCACAGTCATCTTGGCAATCCACGCCTTCGACCCAACTGAACTACGTTTCCACCCGGATAGGCTTTTCAGCCGAACAGTGCAAAGCCCGCTGGGCTGAACTCCAAGATATCCAGCGTCAGATGGATAGATCAGCATCTTGAGGATTTGCCTTGTTGTAGGTTCATGGTCACTCCTGTAGGTGGTTGCTGAATACCCCAACAATTGAAATTCATCCATTCTTGCACAATGAGACGAAATTGGTTCTTGCTTCCTAACGGCACGCAAAACATGAATGAATCCAGTCTGGCTGTCAGTTGCAACTAACTCACATACTGCTCTTGCTGACTTTGTTTCTGAATCTCTTGCTCTTGTGTAGCGAAAGTCAACGCTTACCTCAGGAATACTTCCTCTCTTTATTTACTCCATCTGTTCTCTCACGGCGATCTGGACGTGCTCGATGTTCAACGCACTCCTTGCACCAAGTGGCATATGGCATATGCGTCAACCTGTGCCTTGCCTGAGTGGCTTCAGCTGGCATCTTTGCCACACTTTGTCCAACGCCTCTTTTGTTTCTTGAGCTTTTGCTTCACTCACCAAGCTTTTGGCATTCAAGAGCTCCATTTTCTTGTTGCGATTGAGGAACTTTGCGTAGACCTTTAGCTTAGAGCCACTGCCTGAAATGCCAAGAAATGAACATGATGCCCTCAAAGTTGCTAAAGAAGAACCCTTAGTCAACTCTACTCCATTCACCAAGACTTTGTCTACATCCATTGGCTCAATTGTAGTTCACATTCAAGGTCTTCATCTTTCTTTTCTTCTTCTGACCTTCAAACTCTTCTCCGGGAGTAGGGGTAATCTCTTCGATTGCTTGCTCCACTTCTTTCTTCCTTTCATCTCCGTTCTCAACCTTCTTGTATCCTGGCGCAAAGAATCCCATATCTTCTGGCGGTGCTCATAGTTGAAGATTGTGATTGAAGGAACGACTGCGCCATCATCAAAGAATTGCTCATCAAGCTCCTCCTTTTTGATCATGCTTTCACAATACTCAGGCATTAGCCATTGACCTCCTCTTCTCATGGCTGTGGGATCAGATCAGCAAATCTTGAAGTCAATAAGCTTCCAACTACCATTCCATTCTCATTGAATCTCCAACCTCATTCCTTTTCCAAAGCTTCAGGTACTTCCACCTCCAAGCAGCTTTCCTCTTCATCTCTAATGACTCTAGTGCGGCCTTAAACTGTCAAATAGCGATTACGCAAGTTGAGTGGTACCTTCAAGTCACCATTCTCCAACATTTGCTCTCTGCTATTGGTTCCCCAACCATGCTCCGTCAGTCTTCCATAGCGAAGTATGGGCTGGTTCACCTTTGAACTGAAGATCACATTCTCTTTGGGAAGAACTTCACGTCCAGCAAGGTCACGCAAGGAAACTTCAACACTCGTCGCAATCCCGGCGGGGATACGATTCCCCTGCACATCTTGTAGCTTGGTCTTTGTGCTGAATTCCAGTTCACCTTCCCCACGATGCGCCATACTCAAAGGGAATAATGCTACATCAGCTCCACTGTCAATAATGATGGCCACATCCTCATTCTCCTCACCATGGGTTCATCCTCTGAGAGGCTCATCATCATCATCATCATCATCCCCAATGTAGAAGTGATTCACTCGAATTCCTTGATCTTCTAGCTCATCATCAAAGATGATTGGCTCACTGTTCTCAATTCTCCTGACCACTGGCTTGGTCTCTGCTGAGCTACCCTGTTGGCAAACATTGGCATGTTGCTGACCAACTGTATGAGTAGTCACTGACGCACCTCCTGAAGATGAATGGGCTGGGTCGCTTGCTACCTGTCAAAAATTGTTCCCCCAACAGTCTTTAGCAAGATGCCCTGGTTTTCCACAAGTGTAACCTTCACGTTTGCCCTTCTGATTACCTTCTTTTCCTTTCTGATCTACTTTTCCTTTCTTTCCTTTGCCTTTGGCAGCTTTACCTTTGCCCTTCTTACCTTTTCCCTTGGCATCTTGGACTCGATCAATGTCCATTGGCATAGGTCTTTGATAGTCTGTATTGCTACTTGCCACCATTGAAGTAGCCCACTTCTGTTAAGAACGATCCCATTGCAACACTTGTTCCCTCAAAGTTGAGTATTGAACATGGCCGCCAATTGACAAATTCAAGTATGACTTGAGTTGTCCACCTACACATCTCAAACGAATACCAGGTTTCAACTCTTCTTGAATTTTCGTCCCTGCCTTGACCGTCTCATCAAATACTTCTTCAAGCTTCAGAAGTTGAGGTTGTAGTGCACTGTTTATTGAAAATGCTGGCCATGTAGTGGCTGCTCCCAAAAGTGCTCATCCTCTAGCCTTTGAAGTAGGTTTCAAAGCTTTGTTCAAACTCCTCCGGGCATCAAACCGATTGGAGCTTTCACCATTTGCAGTGCTCTTCCCCTCATCAATGAAGCTGACAATCCATAGAGCTTGATGCACCTGGTCTTCTCCTCTGGAGTTGACAACTCCCAGTCATATTTTGGCTCATGAATTCCTTCAAGTCCTTCATGTAAGCCTCATCAACTGCACTCAAATATTTCTCAAGTACCCGTCAAATATTTCTCAAGTACCCATGACAACTCTCTAAATGCCCTAATCTCTTCTTCTTGTGACTTGTACTCAAAAATGTTGGGCTTTGTTATCAGCTTTGACCCATCAGTAGTTGATGACTTCTTGTCCTCAACTGCTTTCTTCACTGCCTCAGCTGCTGATGTTGTTGCTAGCGTACTCCGTGCTATAGTCTGAAGGATTTCTCTGATCTCCTCCATCTCCACTGCGCACTAATGTCTTTCTGACACAATGTACGGGGTGCAGAGCGTCGCTCACAACAATTATCACCAGTCCAGCTGTTTGGGCTCCAAAGGCCCCAAATCTATAGCTCGAATCGCACCCGGGGTCCCAGTGACCTAGGGGCTTTTCTCTCTGGAGCTCAAAGGGGGTTACCCTTATCCTTGCTCCGCTACCATGCGAACGTTTCCTGTAAGACAAAAGGGCTGCAGTAAATCTCATGCACTCCATGATGCTCATTATGCTGTACACATCTACTGTGGTTTACACTGAAAATGCTTCACACTGCACTCGCAGTGGCTTGTTACATTACTGTATGTAGGAGCTGAGCTCTTCGATTGGCATAGCCCACCATATACATATATAATTACATGTGTATATATATATATATATATGTATATCATATATCCTCCCACGGAGCCTCAGAGATGGACAAAAATCAGAGGCCCCCCCGTCATCGTGAGGTTCTTGTCTACCTGGCCTCTTCTGAGAGGTGCGGCTGTTGAGTCTGCGTCCCTTCCTTTTCAACAAAAGATTCTTCTCTTTGCTCCATCTGCTCTCCAATCATCCTATGGTGGAAGCCGTTGATACACGGGAAAGTACGCATCTTGGAGTCTGAAATCCAGGAGACACATGAAATCTTCCACATGTCCTGCCATCTCATCGCCCGACCGGCTCGAGCCGGCCTTGGCGGCGGGTTTGGAGCCCGGCCCAGCTTCTGCCAAGAAGACATGGGACCTGAGATTGAGGGGCCAAAGAGGCATGAGTTCATAGGGAATCTTGCGGTGAGCCTGCAAAGTTTTGTGTTTCTCCAAGTAGTATGGGTTTGATAAGAACCTACCAGCTGCTTTCGCGGAACCATACCCGTGCATCTTAAATCTTCTGAACCATATCCATCCATCCGTCCATCTTATGTAGTGTACATAAGCTGCCATCGGCAGACCGTGATGATCGCAGAAAAATAAATGTGCCTTTTCGGAGCCACATCATCTTCCGGCAGGGATCAGTCCATTTATATATATATATAAGTTCAGCCAGACGCCCCTGGTTTCTGCAGCCCTCGCAGTCTGAGCTGTTCACAAGCCATCGTTGGCTGTCGTTCTTCTGTCAGCATCCATGGTGGTCCTCAGAATAAGGCAGGTCCACTGCAAATGATCTTGGGGAGTCATCTCAGCTATCACCTAGGTCCTTGTTTACCAGCACCAGTATCTCCATCGCTATTGGGTTGGAGGCCATCGCTAGAAGGTTGGAGGTCATCGCTAGCAGGGGTGTGTTCCAAGAGAGGTCGCTCCTATCAGCTGTGCTCACCAAACTGCCAACAATACACGACCAACTTCTAGGCTCTCCAAAACATACAATGACCACGAGGGGGTTGGCGTGGGCCTTCAAAGCCAACAACCTGGGAGACCCATCAAAATCACCGTACTTCAAATCACCTTGCCCTGCTCGCATTGCTTTTTCAGCAAGACTGGACAGGTTCAACGGTCTGTTGTCGGAGGGAAGAATTACAGTATATATATATATACATCAAAGGCCTGAAAACCAGGTGATCTATGGTCACCAAACACATCACCTTTGTCATTTCTCCCTTGGTCCCGGGCATTTTATCCACGATGTCAGCGAACTGTTTCGCCTGAAAAGCTTGCCACAAAGATTTCGTGGGCGGTTTGACATAGTGACAGCGACAAGGGAACCCTCAATCAGCTTGCCAAAAAGCAAGACAGCCAAACAATGCAACTGATGGCAGAAAGGGTGGACAGAAAGCCAGCCAGGCAGGCAAAGAAATAATCAATAAAGAAAGCCCATCCAGTCCGGCTTGGCAAACTCCTCTCACAGTTCATCTTGTTACTAGTAACAAGTGCATTGCTACTAGTAACAAGTGCATTACTACTAGTAACGGGAAGCTATTGGTAACAAGTGCATTGCTACTAGGAACAAGGACATCGCTACTAGGAACAAGCGCATCGCTACTAGTAACAACAAGCTATTAGTAACAAGTGCATCGATTACTAGGAACAAGGACGTCGCTACTAGTAGCTTCTTGCTACTTACTAGTAGCGATGCACCTTGTTACTAGTAGCTTCTAAAAAGTAGTGGTCCAGTGGCGGCCACGCCTTCTTCACGTAAATCTGGTCCTCCGCCTCGGTCGACTTCTGTTTCTCAGGGCCCACTCGATTGAGGACCTCAAGCTGATGAAGAACGCGGAGCTCTCATGGGGATCGGGTCGAGCGTGAAGAAATTGCACACCTTTGCGTTTAGTAGTTTTTTTTAAACATTTTCTTCACTGGCAGTGGTTTGTGTTGCCTATGGTTTCATCTCATGTTGGAAGTGCATAAGTTGGATTTAAGTGGGTGTGGAGGCTATTCCCAGCATGCTTAGACATCAAGAACATCTAGATTCTAGATCCCGTTCCCAGCGGAACTGCCGAGACATCTCAATATTAAGGGATGCTGCTGATGACTGAGACATGACATCTTTGCTCCACTCAGGTTCCCAAATCTCAGGCATGAGCGGCATGATGCTAGAAAACCATGCTTTTTTAGAGACTTCCTAACGACTCGTTTGAAAAATGCTCCACTTACTTACCTATTCTGGACGTGGTTCAAGTCTGCCTTTGCACAGAGGTGTTACAGTAACAACTATATTGCTAACTCCCTCTCCCATATGATCACCTGCCACATTAGAGGACTTCCTCATCTTACTAAGGGTAATGTTTAATGGTCCATGCATGTGAGGAATTTGGTGTGATTCCCACCGCATCAAAATGGATTGCACGTTTCACAAGAGACGCTTATGTTCGTGCTCCCAGGCCACCCGAGAATGCTCAGTAGAAGAGAGATTTGGAGGTGTACCACTCAAGCTGGCAGAATTCCTGGTCCAAGTTGAACAGCTGATGTTTCACGGGCCCAAAAATGATGGAGGGCAGATCTACCTCCCTTTTCTCAACGAGCCGACGCCTTGGTGGAAGGTTTCACGAGAGCTCCCGATTTCCCTTGAGCTCAGCTTGACAATCGATGCACACGTTGAATCTGCACGCTGACTGTGGGGAGTTTAAAAGATCTGGCAAGCAATCTTCCGCCAACAGAGGATTCTTATAAAGCAGTCTGAAGTATTCAGACATGGTGCCCTAAGTTAACATCAACACCCATCCGACCTAGTCACCTAGTCACCAGTAATGACTTGGAATCTGCTCCACTGGTCATCCAGTTAAGACGAAAACACAGATTTGCAGACAGACGCGCGTCGCTGATGGCAAGGTTCACGGCAACGGTTCGTTGGGAACCAGTCCTGTGTCTCTACAGCCCCTGGTGCGGCGCAAAGGTGATGGATGCATCCGCACGAGAAAGCGATGCAAGCAAAGAGCACATGACTGGGGGTGGTCACTCCAGCCGTGAAGCACCACAAATCTTCAACAAACACCTCGTCAAATCAAAAGAGACAAAAATTCTGCAGACACGCTCTTAGGTGACTGTTTCTCTAGACGTTTCACACGTCGTGGAAGCAGCGATTGAAGCCTGGCACGAACAATGCATCTTGAAAACTTGAAGACATCGATGTGTTGTGCCTGGGTAGTTGGTAAGTATATAGTACTCAAAAACCTCATGGAATTGGATATTCACACTCAGTCAACCCTGTGCCAGGCTTCTTTTCGCCTAGGGCAGATCCCCTGAGCACTCAAAAACAAACGCCGGAGAAACCAAAGATTCCAGTACGGTAACATGCATTTCTCTGTGTGCTTCCGAATGCTTATTGGGATCATCTAGGCCAGATTCTCTTTTCTGGTCAAGACTTGCAAGTCAGTCCATTAAGCGAGCATTCCTTCTGGTCAAAATTTGAAGATCTGGTCAAGTGCACAGGAGAGTCGACTGGAGGATATTCATTGTTTCGACCTGCCACCATCTCTCTTCGCTCATCCTGCTCGCTTCACTCTAATCCAGGAGCCACAAAGACATGGATCACAGATGACAGAGTTCAATGGATCCTGCCGTACTTGCAAATCAGCAGAGCGCCCTCTGGCAGCGCCCTCCATTCCACAGTGCTGTCAGCCACGGTACATGGTAGCACTAAGACCCAAAGTTCTCGACACTAAACATAAAAAGGGCAGGTGACTTGTTGGGTGGTCATCTTCTTTCATGGCTGACGCGTCTGATTGAGCTCAAAGCTGAATTGAACAGCCCTGGCAAACGAAGGAAGACTGCCCTGGCATAAAGCCAGGGCAACAAAACCCTGCAAATGGTCAAGGGAAGGCCATCGAAGAAAAGGAGACCTTACCCAGATCCTGCAGGAGATATTGAGCACGCTACTTCAAAGGCAGCAGCCTCTCGGATCTGCTAGGACTGTGAGGATTGATGATCTCCGACAGAGGAGCTGTCGATCTCTACTGGAGAAGTCACAGGCCAGAAACCGTCCATATATGTTCTTGTCGAATATGCGCATATCTCAATAGCTGATCCGTAGGAGCGGGCCTTGTCTGCTAGTTTGGGGCTTCGGATGTTTCTTGGCGTTCTCTTGAGATTGCGACTATTGTGGGCCCTCGAAATGTCAACTTTCCACAGAGTACCCCAGAGAGTTGCTTCATCCACAACACGAATTTCTTTGGTGCACGTCGCAACGTAGCCAGGGTTTGCTTCAAGGTGGAAATGCCAACAAACCAACTTCTCAGCTTCTCGGCTCTCAAATCAAGAAGAAGTCTCCAGAATCCTTGCAGCCTTTTGCAAGAACACATGTATCTCTAGGTGCACTGGGCTTCAGAGTTCATCAATCCCACTGAATCCACCGATTTAGCCGTGCTAAGATGCAAGGGCGACTTTCATATGATGGGATGCAAAGAGTGTAGACCCGCGCTTTGAAAAAATTGCAATGAAACCTGCTCTTCTGTCTACTCTGCCAGCGCTGGAATCGTCTCTCCAACACCCCAAAGTCAATTACTTGCACCATCTTGCACCCTTTGCCCTCCAGGCTCATGGGCCATGGGTTTGTTAGGTTTTCAAGTCAAGGTTGACACAAGAACTGAACGCTGCGACAGTGTCTGGTCAATTTGTCATAGAGGAAGATATTGAAAAACACTAGGTAAAGAATGCGAGTGATTTGCAGTCCACAGGGTGCCCACAGCTCTTTTCATACTTCCCCGTTACCGGAGAAAACTCACTGATTTCTCTGTTCTCAGCGAAACTCTGGAACCAATCCACCAAGAGTTGTATAAAAACACGGCATGCGGCATTGCTTCAAAAACATCTGCGACTGTTTTGGACATGTCGAGCCTGTTCGTCTGCTCCTTTTCTATGGACTTTGAGTTATGTTTGGAACAACTTCTTGCAGAACGCTCGATATTCCTCAGCATACGTTGGAAGCATTTCAAGGGTTCTTCTTGGTAAACAGCTTCCAAGATACGAGTGCCAGGCCCCTTGCCCCTGAAGCGACTCAGTTACTGCACTGCACTGCCAGTCCGTAGCGGCCCATCACACCAAGAAAGTCATGAGGAAGCAATTCCATTACTTCTCTTACAATGCACAAGAAGCACCCATGCCAACCAACAAGCCTGCAGGTCCGGGATATGTTCCACTCAGATTTCAGAGATGCAAATGCCACGTGGGGCATTTTCTCCAGCCACCCTGTGGCACGAGACAAGGCTTTGTCATTTATATTTACCTGAGAAGGGAGGGGACGAAATCCAGCCTCTGGCTTACGGGGTGCTCTCAGGGTAGGCCCGGGCAAAGACTTGGCGTGCAAGAGGAAGTGATGGGGTTTGCAGCAAAGAGTAATGTTATGGGGCGAAGTTGACATCGCAGCCACACCGATAGGGGGTAGAAATGGAAAGTAGAAGACATAGGGTCTGGGGGGGGGGTGCCCTTTTCGGTCTGGTTCCGGGAGGAGTTGGAGGTGAAAAAGGGCACCCCTCAGGAAGTGAGGCGCACTTGCCGGCGGCGTGTTGCGAATCAGTGAGCAGAGACGGCGGTGGGGGTTCATGTGCGAGGCAATGGGAAGGTGAGGATATATATATATATATATACAGTATGTGTGTGTATATAGGTAGAGTGGAGAAAGAGCAGCCGGAAGGGGTGAGGTTGATATTGGAGCGACTGGAGTGTGTAAGATGAAGTGATACGCTAACATTATGGGTGAAGTTGGCAGCGAGAGGAGGTAGAAACAGACGGTAGAAACAAAAGGGGGGGTGCCCTCTTTCGTCCTGGTCAGGAGTGTTTTGGAGGTGGAAAAAAGGGCACCCTCAAAGATTTTACGTGAGTTCGTCAGCTGTGTGTTGGTAATGGGTGAGATGGTCGTGGGCGAGGCTATCGGTAGGCTTTCGTCAGGACATATATATATATATCTAACTATCTATATGTATATAGGTAGAGTTGACAAGGAGGAGCTGGAAGTGGTGAAGTCGATATGGCCGTCAGTCGAAAAAGAATGGAATCCGTAGCAAGGTCGAGTTGCTGGATTGAAAAGGGCACCCCACATGGGGCGCATGATGCCATCTGTTGAGGGCCTGCGAGAGAACCGGATTGAAGAGGGCACTCCCTATGTGGTGGGGGTAGAAGAGAGTGCAGTGGGCAAGGGCAGTCCTGAATAGCTTAGGGGCGCCCTTCTTCATAGCAAGGCCTAGTTGCTGGACTGAAGAGGGTACCGCACATGGGGTGCATCTGTGTTGTTGAAGGCAGGAGAGAGAAGAGATGGTAGCGAGCAAGCGTTGGAGGCGGAACCCCAGTTCACGTGAACTCCCAGCGCATAGGGAGTGCCCTCTTCAATCCGACAGCAACGCTAAGCTTAGCCGCAACTACAATCTGTTCTCTTTCCATGGCCACCTGAGCCCCTCGTGACGCTGATGATGCACTCTTCGCCGTCACTATTACATCACCGGCATCACAACACCCCTCAAACCACTCATTTTTCACTACCAAGTGGCTCGCCTCTTTTTGTCGCTCTCCCCCACCCTCCGAAAATAGCCACCACGCGACCACCCCCCCCACACCCCCTTTACTCACTTCGTTCGCTCCATCAACCTCAAGCTAGGCTGGCTTTCGTGATATATATATATATATGTATATATGTATGTATATACGTACAGGAATCCACTCAAATCCGCCTGAGCCTGGACCTGAACATTCATGTCAATTCACCAAGTCAAAGTTCTGGACGATATTCCCATATCTCCGTTGCTTTGTGTCTGCTTGCAAGATGA